CCACTTCCACCATCACCTCCAACTAGACCACCCTATGTACCACCATCACCTCCAACTTTGCCACCCTATATACCACCACTACCATCTGTAACTAGACCAGCCTATATACGACCACCATCTTCAACTAGACCGCCCTACGTACCACCACTTCCACCATCACCTCCAACTAGGCCACCCTACGTGCCACCACCATCTCCAACTAGGCCACCATATGCACCACCTCCAACTAGATCACCCTATTATTTGCCACCAGAAGAAACTAATCAATCATCTTCATTTATAACATTACCAACTTTCAAACCACCGACTACCCGATTACCTATAGTCACAACGCGACCGACTACCCGACCACCTATAATTATAACTCGGCCGACCACTCGAGCTCCTATAATTACAACACGACCAACCACTCGGCTACCTATAGTTACAACACGACCGACTACCCGGCGACCCATCACCACACCTCAAATTATCACTTCAAAATATACTCCGGTTACACAACCATCTATCTACCTTCCACCAAGCGTTACTACCCCAAAGCCTCCCACAACACGAATCATAAGTACAACCACGACTACCAGATATAGTCCTACGACAACAAAGAAAATTTCCACACCGGGCACTACTTATCTACCGCCTAGTTCATCTACATCTACTACTACACCATCTACGACTACAAGCACTTCTACCACTACTAGATCAACAACAACTACAACTACCTCCACGCCAACGACTCTGCCTCCGTATGAACGAACGTATATTCCACCACCGCAACCGCCGGTCACCCGAGTGACCATTACGCCGCCGCCATATCCTACGGTCATTTATGAAACTACACCCAGAACGCCACCCCCGAGGACAATTGATGGAACAATTGCTCCACCACCGACTCTGCCGCCACCCACACCGCCCAGACCTTTCATAGGTTACGAATACCTACCCCCGAAGGGAGCCGCCTTTGAAACCCGCAAACGATAAGAGCTGATAACGCAAGTGATTTAACGTACGTTATCAGTGAAATCAATCAGTGAAACCTATGAATTTAAAAGAAAAATATTTGATGGTGTAATATTAATATTAGCTAATATTAATAACAAAATTATAAATTTTATAGCTTATTATTATTTAATAGTGGCGTCGAGTCGCCACCGGACATTAGAATATTGCCTTTTTTATATATCGATTGTTTTCTTAACATTGATTTTTCCAGACGAAGATTTAACTGATCAGCGTGCGTCTTTTTATATGTGTGTGACGAATATGGAAAAAGAATAAAAGGTTTTATAAAAATGTCGCTAATATTTTTCTGCCTTAACATAAAAGATATTTAGAATTTAACAGTGCGTTATATACAAGAATCAAGTGCATATAAAACTCTGTTATATCGATAATTCAAGTATTGAAGTATTCTTTTATTAAGTAATGAAAACTAATACAATCAAAAAGTTTTATTTCAAAATAATAAATCATAT